GTATGGTACCTCTGTTGACCATAGCCAAACCGCTGTTAGCATCAACTTTTAGATCGAGTTGAAGGTCATTCTGTACTCTCTCGATACCATTGCTGCAAGTCAGTACGTCTTTAATGGTATCTGCTTTGACCATTTGGAGACAACTGCCAGCCTCACATTTGAGAGAGAGCATAATATCGTTTGTAGTGCCAGGACGAACCGCCACTCCATTAAAGTCCTGGAAAATGTACCCACCTGTGAGTGCATTTCCAACAATTCTGATGGTCTGATTATCGACCAAACAGCCTATCTCTCGACGTCCAGCAGCCTCCGGACTCACGGTGATCGCTCCAGTTTGAGAGCCTTGATAAAATTGCGAAAGATAGTCTTTACTTACAGCATACGAGCCACCTCCAATCGCAGGCAATGTTCCGCTTAACTTTACATTGGGTACACGCAACTCCTGAAGCGTGGATGAATAAGTGAATGAAGAACTTCCCGAGTAGCCATAAGTAAGGTTCCCATACATGATTTGTTCATATCCGGGTGATTTCAGGGACAATCTCGAACCCGCTTGACTGAATGTGGAACTATCTACCATAAGGCGAATGGCTGTGGTGTCTACCTCTCCTAAAACATTAGTCATTTCAGTCAAACTATCGAATCCAAAGTCGAGCCATGAAGACCCGATGTCTAACAGCGTATCCGCACCGCTGGATGTCTTTATAGCCCCAAATGCTTTGAACAGTTGGCTTGAGTTTGTTTCGAGTTCATCTGAACTATTCACCTTCAAACTCTTGTGAAGTTTGACACCAATTCCATTATCCCGATATAGAGGTTTCTTCAGTGTTTCTAGAGGCGGCGGTGGTGGAAAGTTCACTGAAAGTCCGTTTTCGTTAATGGATAATGTCTCATCCACTCGAATACCAACCGTCCGCGATTCATCATCACGGTACATTGGGAACTCATAATTTTCGGGAATCACTTTCAGTTTTTCTTGTTCTACAGATAAAGATGAATCATCAAACTGAAGTTGGATATCATGACCCTCTTTTGAGTAGACAAGAGGTTGATACGCAGATACGTCGATTGTGGTCAACCGACTCTCCTCATCAATTTCAAACCTCTTGTTATCAACATTTAATTCAATGGATACGACGCCATGTTCATTCGTACAAGGTAAGCATTCAGAGGTGGTTTCAACCTCGTTGACTTTAAGTTCACCATTTTCATTAGATAAATGCTTAAATTCTCCAACATCGAACCCCTTTATCTTGGCTCCAGCATCGAAGCCAACCATTTCGCCTGTCACATATGGAGATAAGAGATTTGTGTTATCTACGGTACGTAACCCCGTAGAATTTCTACTATTAATTCCAGACATGTTATATTGTAGCTAGGAAGTAAAATTTGAGGAGCTTGGCAAAAGACGAAGTGCTCGACGGGCGATAAAACTTTACGCTATCCTCTGTTTCTTCCTCGGTGGAAGTGTGACATCTGCTCCTTTTCTCCTTCTACTTCGAACTGTAGGTTCGACATGAACTGTTTGTGTTGGAACCAGTGGTACAACATATTCCGCTTCACGTTGTCCTCGCAATCTTGTGAGTGGACGTACTTCACTTCCTAAGTCCGCGGTTAGCGGTACTAACGTTGGAGGATTGACAGCAACATTCGGAGGTGCTGGTGCAAAATTGACTTTTCTCCTATTTTTGGCTCGTATATGTTTTTCAACTTCTTCAGGGGATGTTAATCTAATTTCCTCTACTTCCTCTCGTTCGGGTATAGAAGAATCTATTCTTTGTCTTTTTACCGTGGTCTGCTTATCATCTGGTTGTTTGTACTGTCTTCTTTTGGTTCCATGAGGAGCAACTCCAGCAAAAATCACATCCGGAGGACGTGGAGGAGCAACAGGTGATGGGGTTGATGGTGGAGTTACTGGCTCTGTTTTTTGCTTCTTTTTATTCAACCGAGGAATCGGCGGGGGTGCATTTGCTTTCCTTTTGGAACCTGCTAATATGGTTGCTTCCTTACCTTTGAAGTGAAATGGAGTTCTAGCAGGAACCGGGATAAATTTTTCATTGACGGAGTTTCTCTCTAAAACATCCGCTACACCAGACGGATCATGGCGGTCATTCAGGAGTACTGTATCATGTGGAATTGGTGCGGCACTACGAGGCATTGTTTCCACGGAGGCATTGATTTGAGGAGATTCCACATGAACCTCTGGAGTCAAGCCAGGGAAACTGCCTGGAATCAGTGGAATATAAGCATCGGACATTGTCATCGCATCCAATGGAACAGCAGCGCCAGTCCCATGATTGACACGGTCATTTCCAACTGCATCTCGTCTAATTTCCGTCTCCCTTGTTAGAATTACAGGTTCTAGGGGAGTAGAATTTACATTACATGGCTGTGCTGGAATCTCATTTCCATTAGGTGGTGCTTCAAACATTAAGCCCGTTTGGGAAGTCACTGATGCGGGATAGGAAAACACATGCCCAGATTCATCAGGAATCGGTAGTCCTGAAAGGGAATTTTGCATTCCAATGGTCAATGCATTCCCTTGTCTACTTGGAGTAATCGAATCAAGATACTTCTGTTTCTTCCTGTAATCTTCCTCTGCTTTAACATATTCAAGACCATCCCTGTAAGCCTTGGTAGTTCGTTGGGCAGCCGAAAATTTCAGAACATCAGAAGATGAGAGCCTCGGTTCATATTTCGGTGCTGCATAGTTCGTCTTTGTTGCTAGGTCTTTCTCATGGACATTGCGGTTCCACGAATAGACAACTTGTGGTCGTCCGAGGATATCAATCTTTGAATAGTCTAGTGCGACACCCACTTGACGTTTTTGCAGATTTGGAATCGGTGGCGAAATAGCATATGTATCACTCAAGTAATTGGCTCGGTAATATGCCATACTAGGTTTTTTCCTTTGCTATGTAGAGCTGAAAAAATAATATCTCTTCTGTTCTATAAATCAAGATGCCTAATTGGTTTTCTAAAGCGAAAGCAAAGGCAAATGTTCTGTGGAATAACACGCCTAACTATGTAGCAAAAGCAAGGAACTTTGCCAATCAAGCAGTCCGGCATGCCACTACGTTTAATAAGCATATACAGCACGTAAACCGCCAAGTACAAGAATCTCCTTTATTTTCACAGGGTATTCGGGAAAAGTCACAGAAGATTTCCAGTCATGGAGACACTGGGCTGAGGAAACTTACAGAACTTCACAAGAACGCTGACAACTTTGTTGAGAGGGTGGCAGGTGGTAGAATCAAGTGATCTAATCCAGTGAACTACTGCTATTTGGGTGGCGAGGGTGATTGACCCCGATCTCGGGTTCTATGTATAACATGTTACTGGACTTCGGGGTCATTTACCCTCAACCTACATCCAACCCCATAATCAAACAGGTAGCGTGTGGTTGTCTAAGGGAAGCTTGAAAGAGAAAGAGCCAAACGGCGGACAATGTTCACTGCGCTCTTGGCGCCCCAGGCGGGCTATCAATTTTAACCCTTCAAACCACGGTAACAACAGCACCAATGGAAAGCGTAACATTCTCGAAATAGTTGGTGACCATGCGCACCTTTTGCGTAGGTGCCATTGCATGAGTTGTGTGCACACGAAGCAAACCGTCACTGCCTGTAAAACTCAATGCCGCCTGACTGCCTTCATCCTTGCTGGCAAAACTCCATCCAAATGAAAAGGCTTTTGAATCATAATCTGCGAATGACATATCCATCTCCCCGAGTTGGTCAAAGTTGTTATTTGATAACTGTGTGACCAGTAACGTTTGATTATCAGATGGGCTATGGCTGAACCCTTGCGTTCCACTTGGAATGGTAAGATTTGGCCCCAGTTGAATACGCCACTCGCGTAGCCCTTGTGAAGAGTACATTAGCGCCTTATCTTTCGTCTGGTCATTGAGAACATCATCGTCCACAAACGACATTTCGATCCCTTGAAGTGACCTTACACCACTCATATGAAGCAAAAATGTATTCCGGTTTCCGCCACTACATGCGTTTTCCATTTGGGTTGAGCGCACATAGTCATAGAATATTGGCTTTCCATCACTTATAGCACGTGTTGAATTGATGACGCTGCTTGGTGGTGGTGTAACATACGAAATTAAAGTTCTGATATTCGATACTCTTATCTCTCCAACTCCAGCCGATGTAAAGACGGTTGAAGGATCCGCAAGCGTGATTATGATTTCGAGTGCTTGATTTGGAAGTGCCCAAACAGGGAAGAACTGGTCATTTGTCGGATGAAAGAAACCCACAAAAGGGTGATGGTTGATGGAGATGGTACTCGATGTTGCAAAGATATTGGTGTTTCCATATCCGGAAAGTTGGCTCAACAATTTCTTACTACCGGCAGATAGATTGCGGTATGTTTGTACTAGATAAAGAGGATAGTTTGGTATGTTAACAACTGTTTCACCTCCTGCTTTGATGGTCAATGATTGAATAATGGATTCCAAGCCAAGATACATGTTTTTAACACCTGTACCAGGAGTTATCAGGTTCCCTGCATTATCGTATGCAGAAACATCCATTGACAGAATTAGTTTCTGCAAAATGAAAGAGACCGAATTCGAGTCGCAAGTGATCTTAATCGGAGTCAGGTTTCTTGACTTTGTCGTATATGTACTTTGACCTATCGGAGAATAGATTGACACCCCCTCACCGCAAGGATCGGAGTAACTTTTGGCGAAGGAATTGGTTGAGAAGATCCAGTTACGTGGTACAGCAACTTCTTCTGACATCTTTGTTTACTGATTGCAGGAAAAAAAAAATGGAAGATTTTTCAGCCAAAATACCACCATAGTTGTCCTCCTCAACATTGTCCTCCTCAAAGAACGGTGATCTAGAGTCAAAGAATGGTTCATCATCACCGAATTTCAAAATTATGCTCTTTTTTTTAGATGGATGTATTGCTGCTGGCTGCGCCTTTGCTGCTGGTTTGGATCTCTTGCTCCTAGTTGGTGTTGCCTTCTTTCCTCGCTTTGTGTTTCGTCATTCTTCCCTCGCCAACTGCTTCTGTTCCTTCTCCTCTTCAAGGATGCGTTTGGCCTCATCGATCCTCCTTTGTTTATCCTGCTCCTTCCGTTCCTTCTCGCATTTTGCTTGCATTAGGCGCAATTGTTCAGCCCTCGCTTTCTGCGCCTTCTCCAATGCAGCCCGTTGCTTGTCCGTCATCGGGCGTTTCACCTTTTGCTTTGGAGGCTGTTCTGGTATAATTTCTGCTTTTTGAACAGGTGCTTGTTCAGCGGATGTTTCTACATTCTCTTGTGGGACGGCACTCGATTCTTGATGATTTTGATTTTGCTCTTCCATTGTTTTCTTACTCTAAGAAAAAAAAATTAAACATCCACAACATCATCTGTAAATGCAAACTGAACGGTTAACGGACTGTTGAGTGAAACTTCCAAACCGGTCATCGAGTCAATAAGATAGAATTCGATTTTGGAGATAGTATCATCAACAGGGAGCCATTCACCACCATCGTTAGTCCATGTGACTACATCACCGAAACTATCAGGGACAACCGCAGCAATTACGGATTGGGCGGAATCATTGAAGTCACTGAGGAAACGGCTTCCTTGGACTTGGATGTTGCTTGTGACAAGCATTGGATACGAACCGGACAAATTGACAGCATTCTTCAGTGTGATAGTCTTGTAATATCCCGTTTCACTCCATCTTGACATTCCTGTTAGAAGATAAGAGGATGTTCCTCTCGAAGCAGCAAGAACTTTGTAGTTCTTGCTACCAGATGTGGAAAGTGTCAATCTCCTCGTAACAGAGTCATATGTGGCATTGTAGGCTTGCGTCCCGGCTGAACTCAATGCTTGAGCAACTGCATTTGGAAAATTAGCGATGCTGTAATTACCATTAGGTATTTTCGCAGATAAGATGGTTGGATCGCCTTCTTCAACAAAATTAATCGTGTTATTAGAATCGTTGACCAGATCCCAATCTTGAAGGAAAGAAACCAAGAGAACCTTCATCATTTCCATCCTCCAAGGAGGTATTGAGAATGATCGAGATTTTAAGGAGCAGTATGTCACTTCGTTAATCATGATATTTCCTTACCTTTATGTAAAGACAAAGGAAAATTTAAATGTCCTATAAACCACGCCCAATCTTTCCCGTAGGGAAAAAGAAGAGAGATCCTCGTGTTCCACATGACCTGGCATCACTGCCTCTATGTACAACTCTTGTCGCTCTGAGGAAAAGTGGTAAAAGTGCATTAGTCTGCGGTCTGATTGAGGATGTCTATGCTAAATTACACGATCGAGTCATTATCATGTCCGACACAGTCGAATACGATGCTTCTGTGAAGGTACTGGCTGAAACCACAAAACATAAAAATATCTACTTTACAGATGAGGTTTCCAATGCATCCATTGCTAAAATTGTAGAAGAACAGAAGAAAATGCCTGAGAAGTCACTTCTATTATTCATTGACGACGCTGGTGATTCTGCGCAAAGTAAAGAACTCAACAAGGAGTTATCGAAACTCTATACAAAAGGGAGGCATTTCAATATAGGAAATATTGTAGCCATCCAGAGTGTAACCGGACAACTTTCACGTAAAATGAAGAACTGCACCACCGAGTGGGTGGTGTTTAAAAACAATGCAGAAGACATGAAACTTTTAGCAAAGTTACTTGCTTCCGCCTACAAAGATGATAAAGAAGTTCTAACATTTCTCACCGAGTGCACCAAAGAACCTTATTCGTTTGCCTACATCAATAGAGATGCTAGTGATGCTAAAGGAATGTATCGTTACTGTGACTCCAGCGGGTTTCATGATTACTTTTAGTTGCTGGCATTGGCACTCCGTACCGGGTGCTCGAAGAGCACTGTTAACGCACGTGGAGCGTGCTTTACCGGCATGTTTTTAAAGCTGATCTTATCGATAAGATGGAGGAAAGGAAGCCTAACTGGAAAGATATAACATGAGAAGATGAGCAGCATTTAAAGCAGCTCTACTATAGAGAGCATGCTTACATGGGCAGAGATCGTTTGTACGCGCTTTACAAAGCAAAGTACCCAGAGAGCGAGATTTCCCAAAGGACCTTGTTAGCATGGTTGAAGACCAACCAATTTGGCAGCGTTGGAGTCGTCCCTTGACCA